CATTCTGGTCTGGTTCTTGACCTGTTAGTCTTTGATAGTCAGTTTCAAAGAAGCTCCAACTGCATTCTCAAAGTTCTGCCATATTTCTTAGAAAAGGTATACAACAACATCCACAGAAAGCAAACAGTGCAATCACAATAATCAATGTGGTGAATGTAGAGATTATTATTGTTTTCCATTTTCCAAACATTTTATTTAACCAATTGTCTATTGGATTTTCAATTCCATTGATATTAGAAAAAATGTTATGGTGTTCTATCCATACCAAACTTCCTATGACGAAGTTGTCAAAGAGTACAACAACAAGTGTTGATACTACAATTCGATATGTTGATCCTCCGGCCATCATGGCGGACGTCTGCCACTCCCCTAAACTGATGGGATGTGCTGTAATCTTCACTGACGCAGCCGCTGCCTTGAAGACTGAAGATGGTAGGAGGGGGAGATAAGAGTGTAATTTCACATTTAACAGAAATTATCATCCGTGGAACTCATATTTGTAGAAGGGAAAGTCACTAAAGGAGATACGACTCTCAATGGACTGTGGCTTTAATGTAGAAAGGAAGCTCTTAGGAGTTCAGACTCCGATAAGCCTTTCTTTCCCTCCTGCCTCAGCTCCTCTATGAGGAAATGGTTTCCAAGACTGACACTCATCTGATTCAAGTCGTATTGTTTGTCGCGGGCATCAAGTGATAGGAATAAGAATCCATATAAAAAGCCATTAGTTTTCTATTACTGCCATGCCAGATGGACAGGCACTCAGTGCTGAGCCAAATCACCAAGTGTTTAAAGTGTCAGGTTAGATGAAAGAAGACTACCTCACAGGGTGTTTCCATGCCACTTCCCAGGGGCTGAGTGGCTGAAATGACCATAAAATTCTGTTGAGTTGGACAGCCTATAATTTTCAGCAGCGAGTGGCGTTTCGTCAAGGCATAATGGAAAGCCGTTGGAAGCCATGAAATGTGCTGCATTCCTGTTTTGGAACACTATTGTCTGAACACTCAGGACTAAACTTTAAATTACTGTTTTTAAGCCATCTATAAAAAAGCTTCTAGAGAGAAACACAATTGTTGCTATGTTTCTTTAATTTTTTTTTTGTGCCTTTCTACACAGAAATCAGAAATTTGTGTATGACTGTTTAAAAAAAGACAGAGACAGACTTCCTTTCAAAACTTTAACTTGGAACACATGGTTCTACAGCCTTTTATCTGAGCAATAGAGTTGTCTTCACTCTGTGTTCTAATGGGTTTTTTTTTTCATCATTTTTGGCATGATGTGGTAAAACCTGCCTTGTGAATAAAGTAAAGATGACAGAAAAAGGGATTTGAGTGAGAAAGCAACTTTGTGTGTGTGTATGTAAGTGTGAGTTTGTACTGATATGTAAGTGTGCATGCATTTGCATATTGGTGTACTCTATCAGTCTCTGGCAGAGGCCAGCATCTGTGGCATTTTATTTTTTAGTCAGTTAAACGTGTTCGCAGCATGTCATCATATGACGTCAGTAAATGCTCTGGGTGATTGGAAGGCAGACTCACTGCTGGAGGCCTGAGCTCATCATACTGTACAACACTGCCTCAGTCACACCCTGAACCCCTTTATCACAACATGTGCAATATTTTAAATACAGCCTACTGGTATACAGTTAATACTTTTTCTTTTTTGTTTAATGACATTCTATGCATGGATGAGTCAAAAGCGCTAGATCAAAACATGTTGTAAAGCTATAATTATTTAATCAGGTTACTGTTCACCACTGGAAAGGCACAAACTGACAAGTAAGGGATCAGTAAAACATATAAAACTTTTATGTGTTAAAATTTAAGTAATTATATAAATGTATTTTATTCATGTTTTTAATATGTTTTTAATATTGCTAATAAGCCAAACTACTGAACGCAAAATAAATACGTTTGATTTATATATTTTTTAGGTCTATATGGAGCCCCTAAAGAGCCCCTTTTTTTTCCCATGTCTCTTTAGGGGCTCCATAGGTCTACAACATTGTTTTGTGGAGAAAAAAAACAAAAAACAACTTTTTCTGTGTTTTAGCATGAGGTGGCTTTTGTTGCATACTTTAAAAAGTCTATTCCGACCATAGGTTAAGTCATACTTTCGTTCTGTGAATAGCATTTCAAGAATGGAACAAAAATTGGAATGACAAAGAAAAAGCAGCAGCCTTCGCAGGAAAATCGAACAAAAAACCTCTGATGTATCCATCCACTCTGGTCACAAACTAGTTTCTGTACATAAATCATTTTAACAACGTATGTGTGAGAGATTAAAACAAGACTTTCCAAAAATTGAAATAAATGTATGGAAGATGGCGACGTAACCATGAGACGTCGTAGGTTGAGGACAACCTGTAATATCTTTGACTTAGATTTGTCTTTTCTCTCATCTCCTTGTTTCCAATTTTTGTGATTATATCAATGTCCAGTCTGACCTAGCCTAATGATGCCACTGTTCCACTTCCAACCTCAGCATGTACTGTAGGTTGTAGTGGCTGGTGCCATCTACAATTCTCGGGTCTATGTAAGGAAGTCATGTGACAGTTGAGACCCTCGACACCATACCTTAACATGGTGACTAACGTTAGTGACAAAAAGTCATGTAACCTGACCATTTTTATTGTATTTAACTCACTCAGCCAACATGGCACCTGCAGCACTGTGTATATCCCCTCTCACTTTAGCAGGACTTCTGTGCTCAGTGGAGCTTTTACGTATGTATGTGATAATTAGTGTTTACAGAAATTTCACAAAAAATAGTCACAAAAACACACAAGGAGACACACAATCATTTGTGGATTTAAGTCTAATTTATGTGGTTTGGTTGTCTAAAAAATGTAGTTTACAGTTTATTTAAACATCATTAGTTAAATTAATTTGCATAAAAGTATGATTTTATGTCCTCTTCACCATCTACAGCTATGTCCATGGGTCCCCCAGAATCTTCGACCTTCTGAGAAAATAAACATATTATAACTGTGTTTAAAGCCACCCATGCAGCGGGCATGGTGTATTTCTGTTTGGAAATAATGTAAACATCAATTTACATATTCTTTCTTAAAAGTTAAAAAAGCTGATGTCACATGAGGTCAGAATGAGTGGGGGAAATGTTGAAAAAGAAAGGAGAAAGAAAAAAGGGTAAAAAAAAAGAGAGATAAATTTTTATATTTATTTAGTGCTGTTTACATCACACACACTCCCAACAGCCCAACTCCACACATTCTACACCAAATAAACCTATTTAAGTGGATTAGCGATGCAACCCTGGGGCGGGGGGGACTCCATGGCCCTTATCTCACACACCAAAACAAAACATACTATCTTAATCAGTCTGTAGGGGGAGAGAGGGAGTTTAGGAGACACTGGCAAGGTTCACAATATGCATGAAAGCTGAAGCATATGATATGATCCTAATCCCTGCCCAAAAATGCTCTGCCCCTGGGCTTGTGCAGCGGAGATAGTAAATAGCTTGTTGGCACCGAGGGGTCGGTGAGTCCTGGTAGCTGTTAGGGACACCTGTTGCAGCGTCCTTGGAACAGATGTTGCTTATACTTTCCCATTATGACGCCAGTTACAATTGGCAGCTGCATTCGGGAAAAGACAAAGCCAAAAAATTTAAAGCTCTGTGGTTTGAAATTGTGTGTGTATTATCATCTGTTACATGTGTCCAGATACTGACTTTGGAGTTCTCTTTCTTTCTCCTCTCTGCTCCTCTGCTTTTGTTTGCTGCACAGGTCAAGGTTGGCTGATTATTTGGCCAACTGCTGGATGCCTCCACATACAGCGAGCACCTGTCCAAACCAGGACAATCACCAAGCCTGCCTGAGCTCCTTCACAAGACTCATAGGTCAGTACAACTGAGGTACAACTGTGGTGGAGTAACAGTTTGTTTGGCTGAGGTCAGTCTGACAGTGCGGGTATTGGGAACCTTTGACCCAGAAATCGATGGCTTGAACCTGTGTAGTGTATCATAGTAAACAGTAATCAAGGCCATGTTAAGTCGAACAGTCCCCCAAACCTGCATGTGGAACTTTAGAAGATTTTTGACCTTCTGAGAAAATAACTGTGACTATAACTGTGTTTATAGTCACCCCGGCATAGGGTATTTCTGTTTAGAAAAAATGTAAAGATTAATTGACATATTCTTTCTTAAAAGTTAAAAAAGGGAATATTACATGAGATCAGAATAAGTGGGGAAATGTTGGAAAAGAAAGAAAGTGTAGAAAAAAGAGAGATAAATATTTAGCTACTATGATTTATTTAGTGCTGTTCACATCACACACTACCAGCCCAACTCTACATATTCTACACCGAATAAACCTATTTAAGTGGATTAGTGATGCAACCCTGGGGGGGACTCCACGGCTCTTATCGCACACACCAAAACAAAACATACTATCTTAATCAGTCTGTAGGGGGAGAGAGGGAGTTTAGGAGACACTGGCAAGGTTCACAATATGCATGAAAGCTGAAGCATATGATATGATCCTAATCCCTGCCCAAAAATTCTCTGCCCCTGGGCTTGTGCAGCAGAGATAGTAAATAGCTTGTTGGCACCCGCGTCCTCAAAACAGATGTTGCTTATACTCTACCATTCTGATGCCAGTTACAATTGGCAGTCGCACTCGGGAAAAGACAGAGCCAAAAAATGTAAAGCTCTCTGGTTTGAAATCGTGTTTATTATCATCTGTTACATGTGTCCAGATACTGACTTTGGATTTCTCTTTCTTTCTCCTCTCTGCTCCTCTGCTGCTGTTTGCTGCGCAGGTCGAGGTTGGCTGATTATCTGGCCAATTGCTGGATGCCTGCACATACAGCGAGCATTTGTCCCAACCAGGACAATCACCAAGCCTGCCTGAGCTCCTTCACAAGACTCATAGGTCAGTACAACTGAGGTACAATTGTGGTGGAGTAACACTTTGTTTGGCTGAGGTCAGTCTGAAGGAGTGGGTTTTGGGAAACTTTGACCCAGAAATCGATGGCTTGGACCTGTGTAGTGTGTCATAGTAAACAGTAATCAAGGCCATGTCTGGGGTTGCCTTCTGACCTCCCAACAGTAAGTCTGGCTTTTGTGATGTGTTCATCAACAGTCATTGTGACTCCAGAGCACACAAAAGCCTTTAACTTTCAAAGGTAATTTAATGTAAACAAAGAAAATGAGGTGAAAAAAAATAATTAAAATCTACTTTTCTGAATTTTTTTTAAACTTTTGGAGCTAAAGTGAGTTTAATCACAGCCAATTTTCTCAAAGTGCGATCATCTACTTTGACACACTGTGACCTCTGCTATTCTTTTATAACATCACTAATGTGATCCTGTCCACTACAGGAAGCAGTAGCCCTTTTGTTTATTTTGTTAACTTTATATCTGTCACACTATGCATTCAAATGTGAATATCGAAAGTCAAGTGAGTTTTACTTATAATTTCCATTCCCTGAAATGTTGGTACACTTTTTACAAAAAACACTAACACGTGTTCACAAACACTTACAAACCTGTAATTTGGTAATGCATTTTAGCCTTGTCTATAAGGTAAAAAGGAACATAAGGTGTTGATAGCAGCCAGTTATAGCCATTTTAATGCTGTCCCCACCATCTTTCGTCCAGAGGATGAGAACAAAGTTAAATTTCTCCGGGGGTAGACAGGGAGCACAGACAATGTCTTGTTTAATATATAAAACAATGATTTTATTAAGAATATAATAAGAAATAACACAAAGTGCTGTTTATAAACAAAGCACAAAATAAATGACCAGGTTACATTAGACCAGTATGTCCATGAAGATTCTCAGTCATCCAGGTCATGGTCAAGGTTGAAGAGTTCTGTTAGGCAACTGGACGTTAATTTTCTAAAAGAAGACGTTTCACCTCTCATCTAAGAGGCTTCTTCAGTTCTAATTGGTTGTGAGGAGTACAGCAAATATATACTCTGGGTTTGAAAGAATAAAGCTACTTCACCTTCCCCCTGTTGGGTGGGGCCTTGGGGTCAACTGGGAAAGTGTAAACAGTCGTTAAGAGTCTGATGGGTCGTTGTGGTCCTCATCAGAAAAGTTTTGCCTCTTTGTTATGTGAAACTGAGGTGAATCTTTTGGGCATTGTTCCTAAGAGTGCTTTGTATGTGGGTGATAGGTTGTGTCTAAGCCCACCTTCTCTGTTGAGTGATGGTTTTTCCAGGTTAACAAAAATGGCTTATTTTACCCCTCTCTCAAACCATCTGTCTTCCCTGGCCAAAATGTGAACATTGTTGTCCTCAAAGGAGTGTGTTTTGTCCTTGATGTATATGTGAACGGCTGAGTCCTGTCCTGAGGAGTTGGCCCTCCTGTGTTGGGCCATGCGCCTGTGTAGCGGTTGTTTGGTCTCCCCAATGTACAGGTCCGTACACTCTTCACTGCACTAAACGGCATAAACCACATTGTCCAGCTTGTTTCTTGGAGTCTTGTCTTTGGGAGATCGAGACAGTGGTTCATAAAGCCCAGGAGACAGACTTGGGTCCAGGTGATGGGCCAGCGGGAAGACTGTACGTTCTGGAGAATGTGCGGTCCCAAGTGCTGCAGTGGGGCCACTCATACAAGCTGACATGCCATCCAAGGTTCCATAGAACATTGAAATTCATTGGTCAGCGGTTCTGGTGGCCAACTATGGAGAAGACACAAGAGGTTTTGTGTTGGCCTGCCCCATCTGTGCCCACAGTAAGGCATCTCACCAAACCCCGTCAGGTCTCCTGCAGCCCCTGGAGATCCCTAGTCGTCCCCGGTCCCATATCGCAGTGGATTTTGTGATGGGTATTCCATTGTCTCAAGGTAACAACACCATATTGACCATAATTGACAGATTTTCTAAGGCTGTCCATTTCATCCACTTGCCTAAGATCCCATCAGCATTAAAGACTGCGGACTTCCTGGTCCATCATGTTTTTCGACTCCATGGCTTCTTTTTGGACATTGTGTCTGACCGGGGTCCGCAGTTCTCTTCTCTGGTGTGGAAGTAATTTTGTCAGTCGTGGGGGCATCAGCGAGTCTGTCTTCTGGATAACATCTACAATTGAACGGTCAGCTGGAGAGAGCAAATCGGGTTGTGTGACCAGTCGCCACCCAGCCTCATGGAGTTCATTCATTCCCTGGTTGGAGTACGCCCACAACTCATTGACTTTCTCAGCGACAGGTATGTCCCCGTTCATGGCTTCATTCGGCTACCAACCTCCTCTTTTCCGTGAACAGGAAGTGGACAGGGCAGTTCCCTCGGTTCAGGAGAACCTTCAGTGGATCCGTAGAGTTTGGAGCGCAGCCAGAACAGCCCTACTACGTGCAAGGTCCAAGGCAAAGTATTCGGCAGACCGACATCGGGTCCCTGCTCCCTCCTACCAAGACAGAAAGTGTGGCTGTCGGTTAGGGACATCCCCCTTCAAGCGGAAAGTCAGAAGTTGGCACCAAGATTCATTGGTCCGTATGAAGTGGAGAAGATGATTGGACCATCAGCTATTCGCTTGAAGCTTCCCTCTTCCCTAAAGATCCATCCCACATTTCTTGTCTTATTGGTGAAGCCAGTGTCCTCTAGCACTTTGTAGGACTGAAGGACTTGGGCGTGCACCTGCAGACGATCCATTCATCACGTATGGAGTATTTAAGGGATGGACACCAGGAAGTCAGCGCCATGTTGTTGTTTACGCCAGTGGGGTAACTGATGTCTAGTTCTTGTTCATGCTGTGCTTTTTGAATCTCGGCCTTAATACTATTCTTGTACTCTCGTTTTCAGGAGTCTGGATTTCACACATTTTTCACGTGGGACACAGAGCACTGTTTCCACTTCTTGGATTATCGTTGTTCACGGATTCACATTTTTGTATTTACCTTTTGATCACTGTAAATAAACTGCACTTATCTCGTTCATCTGTGTACTGCATCTTGGATCCACTCCTTCTAAAGACTCCCAGTGGGAATCCTTAAAATGTTGCAGAGGTAGCTGAGAGTTAATTATAATTTTAAATTTTAAACTGAAGACTGCAGCTGACAGGTGACTAATTGGACTCAGCAGGCAGACAGGTGAAGCTTGAAAGCACAGAGTAGTTTTAGTGTTCTCTCTTTTTTTTTTTTTTTTGGTACAACAACTAAGAGTTCTGCTAAAAAAAAAAAAAAAACACTGAACTATATCTCCTATAGTTCAGTCTTTCAGCATGACCTGGCAGCAGGAGCAGACTTCTGAAGATATCTTGATGAGATGATCTCCAAGTGCTCTGATTAGAGATGGCGAGCAGGTGAGGAGATCAAAGGGGCAGAGAGGAGCCGAAACGGAAAGGACAGAGAAAGTTCACAACCACCACAACTTCCCCAAAATCTCATATTTTTAGAGACCTCAACGGCTGGATCACCATCCCCCTACACACAAAAAATGTGCAGTAGTTACCGTGTAATACACAACTGGTAAGGTTGAAGAATTTTTAAAAATCTCTGCAAAGTCTTAGCAAGGATATCTAAGTTCTTCCATAACGATCTCACACTGTGTGCTGTTTCCCTCACTCTTTGACGTGTACAGTTTTACAAAATCACAAATCAAGTGGCAAGTAAAGTTTTTTTTAAATCTCAATCTTAAATCATGAAATTATTGATGTTATTATTCCTTTAGAAAAGGTAGACCAATAAAGTCTGCCTTCCTATCTGTCCAAGTCATTTCTCTGGACCTTACAGTGTTATGAACCTAACAATGATAAGGCTATATGAAACATAGCATGTAGCATACATTAAATTTCAGTGCAAAATAAATAAATAAAACATTTGTTTTTTTTATACACTGCTAGTGTCTTCCGACACTACCACTACCAGTGTCGGAACACACGTGCCTGGGTGTTGAACAGAAACTTGTCATCAATATTTTTTATATTGATAAATAAAGTAGTAATGCACCACTAGTAGGCACCAAAATTAGGATATGGAGGACAAATACTAGAACTTTATTCCCCTTTAATGTGGGTCTATTGGATGGTAGAAATATACGATTACGATCATAACGCCACCTGTTGACTGCACATAGCTTTAACAACAGTACGATGCTAAAAAACTGTAAGAAGAACTGCCCACACAAGACTTAGTTCCAAGACAGATGGTTATGGGGAGCTTGTAGAAGACACAGTGTGACAGCAGTCTCTTGTACTTTTTTTTTTATAAGGACAAGCAGGCAGAGCAGTGTGACTCAGTTTTCTTCCCTCCTGGCCTGATATTTCCTCCAGTGCAGTGGACATCAGTTCACTACTAGAAGTAATTAAGGGGGTAGAGGCACAGTGAGCATGTTTATTTAATTAAAACACTTGATGGCCATCTGTTTGCTTACTTAAACAGTGTGCACAGCTTGGTATGTGAATATATTTCAAATGCAGCTTGAGTTTGATAACATCAGTTCGGTAAAGTTGTGGCAGCCTCAGAGAGCTTGCAGTTTCCTTTTGCTGAACAGTCCATATTTCAGGATTAGACAGTGCTTTCCCTCCATGTGTCATAAACTATGCAGTATAAAGTAATAATAGACCACAGTGCTTCCCAGAATTCTCTGAAAACTGTTGTGCAAAGTACATCTAACACCCTCTGACTCCACCTGAAAGCATCGATGCAGATAAGTGAAATGTTTTAGTCTAGTGGTGTGATATCCAAAACAGCACTTCCTAAAACACCTGCTTTCAAAAATATTCATGATATAATGGCCTCTTTACATCTCAGATTAAGCAGAACAAAATGCTCCCATTTCAACAGGACAGACTAACATCCTGTTGCCCATTATCTGTAATATTTGCAAGAACTGTAGTCCATTATTGTCCATTAGTGATTAGTAACTGTTTGTCCTAATGTCTGTCCTGACGCCTGTTTTGTCTGCGTGTGTCTGTGTTGTAACCAGGTACAGAGATAACTCCCAATTATGTGGACAACAGCTTTTCCAACTGGGTCATATCCCCCTGGTGCACCTGTAAGGGGAGTGGGAACCAAGAGGAGGAGTGTATGAACTTCCTGCACTACTTCACCAACAACACTTGCCTAAGTGAGTCGTCTCACACACATTCTGCATGCATCTCAAATGTGTTTTCATAAAAGATGTGGGTCCAGCGGTACCACCTCCAGTCTGAAGCTCAGGTTGAAAATGTGCTGTATGACACCACAGAGTTGGTCAGCACAGTCCCTCAACAGTCTGGGGCTGATGCTGTCAGGACCTGCAGCCTTCCTTCTCATTTGATCAGTTGTAATGGAGAGTGATGGCTGGTACTCAAGAGGAGAGGGGGGGGGGGGGCAAAGAAGGAAGAAC